TACTATATTGTCTTTTTTTTGGTTTTCCTTCCTTAAATTTGAAAACCGTTAGGTAAAATCTAGATGACTAAAAGAATATAAAGATTGAATCTCAATGACCTAGGCTTGGCTGTATTGGGATACAACTTAGGTTGGATTAGTTATTAACTAATGACTTTGCCCTTAATTGAACTTGTTGCAGCTTAAAAATTTTGTTCTTTCCCTGACTTTGTTTCCCCTCTCCCCTCCTTGTAAATGAACCATTTGGTGGTTGTTTGTTTTGAGCCATCAAACCCCTATTGAGATTTCCTCTATGATCTGTAGACCTAAACATGAAATTATTAAACCAGACTTTTTATTGCTGACAAACCCCTGTGATCAACTATAATTTGTGTAGTAAATACCATGCTCATGATTCTTCCTCTTTGGACCCCTCAATTTCTTTTTTTATCATTAACTGTTGATCATTTCTGTTTGATAACATTGGGTTACTTTGGCAGCTACTTTTTTCTCTCTTTATTTAGATTCCTACATTTTTTAATTCTGTTGTCTTCATGAATTATATTTTGTCCATTTGTAATATCTTACCTTTCTTCATTTTCTACTACTGGCATACAAATTTGTTATGTTATTTGATACCACTGATAAATCCGAGGCTCCTACCTAAGACTTGGGCAGGCCATAAAAGTAATAGAACTGACAACTTGCTATGCCCTCTTAAGGCTCTCAGTTGTTGTCTCTCTTGCACTAAACCTTTCTTTTGGGGATCATTTTTCATTCACTGAAGTTGTCACCTTCTGTCAGAGTTAATCACTCATATACTTTGGGTTAAACTTCTCATTTGAAGTGTCTTTAAGGACCTTTTTAAAAACCATGTGATATGTTTTCTAGTTTTATCTAATAACGTATGACACCTACAATGCAATAGGCAAAGGCCTTTTTATCTTTTTAGAGGGACATGGCTCAGTCTGTTATGTGGATTTTTTCAACTGTGTTTCCTTTTTTGTTTCTCACCATATCACCATTTTTTCATCTTTTGTGTTTTGCCTTCATATAGTGGCTGTTGCAGACTCCATGGATTGTATCACTATAGACAGTATTTTTTTTCTTTCCTTTTTTTGTAAGCTTAGTTCCTATTGGTGCATTTTCTTATTAACCTCTAGTAAGTAATCCATCCCTACCTGCAAGTTAAAATTAAGGTTACCTTAAGTCACTTAATATTTTGCTGTTATATTTCTAGCCTGCATAAGATTGTGCAAAACAATTAACCCTTTCAGCAGGTTAAAGTGCACGTGTCATGACGTCTTGGAGAGTTATTTTAAAAAATTTATTAAATAACTTTATTACTACTTATGTCAATGAAATTGGCATCAAAATGAAGTTTATAATTGAAATTTTAATATTATATATATGTTTTAATTTCTTAAAAAGAAATATATGAAAAAAAAAAGCTAAATATCGATTTTTGTGTTTCACATAACAGGTGCTCTTGTCTTATTG